TCTCATGGTGCTTGTTAGCCGGAGGTCGTTAGCGGCTACAGAAGACTGTCATGGTGCTAGCTAAAGCTAACAACGCTCAGCCACAAAAATCAAGACAAAGACTTATTATTGTGTCCTTCATCTTATCCGTTCATATATTTTTAATCGGTTCATTTCTAACAGTGTTAGCTCTGAATGAGTCCTGTGTTCTGTCTTTACCGGGCGTCCTCTTGTTTTGAGTTTTGTTCTTTTTCATCCATCTTTGCAGGCGCTACTCACACAGAGTTGAGTGAACCAGGAAGTCTGTGTTGCCTGAGCAACTCTGGTGAGTTCTGCAGAGTGAAACTTGATATTACACATATCCAACATTTTGAGTTGAACAAATCGAAGAAAATGAGCTGAGGCAGCAGAAACCTCCAATCCCTTTTTACGGTGAATAACAAATATAGCTGTGACCTGTTTTTAACACCAGCCGGTGACTCAGACGGTTCAGGGAGAGTCGGAGAGTCCTGAGAAATGACGTGTTTTGTTATTTTTTATATGTCTGTTTTAATTGATTTGCTGCTGATTAGACGTGTTTTAATGGACCGACGGGATCTTTTCTGCTGAAGAGCTGCAGTTTGATGATTTTTTTTGTTTTGTTATTTTTCAAGGTGAAAAGCGATTCATTTACGGCGTGAATCTGCCGGATTGAAGCGAGGCGTCGCGGCGGATGGTTATCTGATGCACAATCTGCGGTGAAACTGTCGCTGCGGGTTTCGCAGGTCGGCTTAATTAAATCTGGGAAAGTTTCTAACAAGTATGAATGATTGCGTTATTGTCCCGGCGTCGTATTTTATGTCGGATGTATTTTTAGCGTGGGGGTGTGTGTTTTGCTTGAGCGAGATAACGGCCTTACTGGGAAATAGTGCTTTAACACGGCGAGGAGTCTTGATGGAAAAGTGCAGATTCAATTAATCTTTGTTCCCTCTTTCTCTCGCACATTATACAGGGACAAATTAACAGTGATAGAGGGACTCAGTAATTGGATTCTGGGTCTTATTAACCAATAAAACAGGGTTTTCAAACTGCTGGTGGAACTTTGATCATTATTTTGTGGACGGATGACATGAGCCTCTTTTCTGCGGCTACTTCCTGACCCTTTACGTTGGGCCATAATTGCCTTTAATGGTGTGAATGCGCTATAATTGAAATGACATTTCCCGTATTCGCGTCCATTGTCACGAGCTACAGTGAGTCAACCCCGTGATGAGCGCTGCATGTAAATGTGGATCCATCTGCTCGCTGACGGAGCGAAGATGGGCGCGTTCTACCAGACGTATTGATATTCGCGGGGCCGGGTTGAACCGGGGGTCAATCCGCCGGTCCAATTTGTCGGTAAACGCAGACTCATTCCCCTCAGTGATTCCAGTCAATAATGTTTGACCTCATGGGAAAAAGCAGGAACACAAAGGCAGACGGAGTGCTTCTCTCAGACTCAGAGTCCCGCATCAAAGGCGAAGAGCAGCGTGCGTCGCCGTCGTCGGTTCTGGTATTTATGCAGCCATGAAAGTTGCACGTCGATAGTGTCAGTGTGGCAGAGAGGATAAGCCTACAGAGGAAAGGCTAAAGTGGATTTGAAGTGGAGGGATGTATGTGGAGGAGCAGATAAGGCCTTTTTGGGGGATCTGACACGTATCAGTGTGGGGAGATATCGTCTGCCTTTTATTCATGGAGCCTAAACATTCAGGAGGGTTGCACAGCTCTCGTCATCGACTTCAGACAGCTCACTTCTGCAAAACAGTCGCGAGAACTCGGCTTGTCTGCTGCTAAACTGTTATTTTTGGAACAATTCGAGATGCATGCAGCCAGTCGTGGCCGTCTGAGGAGGATGCTGTCGTCACAGTTTGCATAATTAAGGTAGTTTAGTTTATGCTGCTAAATACTTTTATATTCGGGGACATATTCTGCCTTGTGCTGCTGCTGTAGCTTCTAGTTGTCATTATGAAACCACTGCATCGTGACAGATTAAACCAGTTCGTCCAAATCTTTTGGTATCACCGTTTGTTTCAGGATCTCTACGTTTTGTCTATAGTCACCATTTTAAAGCATAAAACTAATAAAACATGACATTAACAGTCAAACTTCAACCATTTACAACATCACAATACTGCGTTTGTTACAGAAACTGTTCTGTACTTTGGTTTTTAGGCTGAATTTTCACTTTTGTTCAACAAAAACAAGAATACAAAACATGAAACTGCCTTTTTTGAAGCGCTGGTTTACTGAACAGCTGGTTTGCTCTCTGTAACGTGTCAGTGCTGCTGCAAAAGGAATAAATCTGAATAAATATTCCTTCAGATTAATTAAAGACAATACAATTAAAAAAAATAAAAAATCCATTAATGTGCAACATTCAGACAATCAGAAATAAAGTGGGCTGTACTTGCGGCTTTTTGCTTCACGCTGATATTCCCTCAAATACGACAAAAATGCACCAAATCTGTGAAGGTGCAGCGTTTAGAAAAGTAACTCAGCAGATGTTGGATCAGCTGCAGCTTGTGTTTGTTAGAAAAGAGCTGATTCGACTTCCTGGTTTGGTAAAAAGGCTCCATTACGTTCAGCAGGTGTTTAAAACCCAACAACAGATCAGCTGCTTTAACATACCTGTGGAGTTTCTTATCGCTCTGACTTGTTGGAGAACGGAGCTGCGTTTGCTCGGTTTTATTCCTGCATCGCAGACGTGGGCGACTCTCCAGCTACAAACCCGGCATGCAGTTCATGTTGAATCCACCTGCTTTTGTCCGTCGTCGCTGTAGTTAGCTGAGAAACCGTAGAGTTCCCAAACAGCAGACTTCTATGATACCCTAGGGTTAGGGTGAGGCTCTGGTTGGTCCACCAAAACTATGCCGAGTGTTAAACTGAACACAAAAATGGTCGCAGAATATCCCGAACCGAGATGCTCGTACTGAAAAGTTTCCCTACCAACACATTAATAACCAACGAATCCAACAATCTGCACCAAGCAGTCCTGAACACGCTCAGTTTTTATACCTTCTGCACATTTTTCTTTCGTAAGCGTTTGCAGCTATTTCGGCCTAAAAGCAGATGGACCGACATTTTCTCAACAGCTGCTCGTTTTCATCAAACTTTTCTGCAGTTGTTGAATAAATCCGGTCCTGGTCGTGTTTCCATCAGCACACTGTTTGCTTTTTATGTTGATAAGAAGCAACTTATCAGCCTTGTGAAACTAAACCTGGTCTGCAGGGACCGTGGGACCCATCTCACCATAAATCTTTTACTTTGATTTATTATTCAGGTGTTAGTTGTGTGCATTTTTTTGATGTTTTAAAAGCTGCATTTACACGTCCAATAGAGTGTTGTACATATTTACTACACAGCTAAATAAGCCTTAATCGTAACAGCAACTCAAGGACAGTTCATGTACACAAAAAAAAAAGATCTTCCACTGCGTTCATCAGCTCCATGTTTCCCATCTGCAGCGAACATACGGAGATGTCAGGAGAGCATCGAGTTCGCTTCCAAATTTCCTCCTTAAATACAGTCCCCAGATTAACTGCCGCTGACATTAGCGACTTGGTTTTTAGCCTTTTTAGTGCAGCCCATCTTCAGGAGGACAGACGGAGGCTATTAAGAATTAATTAACAGCCCCACAATTAGTTTTCTAGTTTCAGTATAAAAGGGATTCATTCTCATTCCGGGCTGCAGCCTCCCAGAGCTGCACGTGTCAAGAGGGTCGTGTAAGCAGCATTAGGACTCTGTTTTGTTTGGTTGCTCTCATTGTCCGCTGGGCTGCGGCCGGAGACGCCGGGAGGTTGTGAATGTTTCTATCCACTTCTGAGACCTTGAACCGTTAAGTAGATCCCTCAGCGAGTGAATGAGAAATTGTTATCGCGTCTCACAGAAACCGGGCCGAGTTGGGCGTTGTGTTCGCGCGGCCTCAAACCGCTGCACAAAATCCCCTTCAGAATCAATGGCGCTCACTTCAGGACACTATAGCTTTTATCTGAGCCTCCCGCAGGCAGCCGGCAACAAGGCGGGGAGAAGGCGACCGGAGTGCGCTCGCCGCCTCGGGTCCCGTCTTGGCGTAATAAAGGAATATTTCATGTGTGACACTCACACCGCCTGTGGGCGTCCGCTACTTAAGGCAGACTTTGAGTTAGCAATAATTAACGTAAACATACGGCGCGCGCCTCCGTCGCCTCGCCGTCCACTCAGCCTCGGATCTTATGCGCCGCCTCAGCTTGAAGTAATCCACTGCACATGCTAATCACTCGGCAATTGATTCGGCCCTTTTTGGTCCAACAATTTCTGTAAACCGCCGAATTGATCCGAGGGAAATCAATTAACAGCTCAGGGTAGGTAAATATGAACAAAAAATATGGATCGCTCTGCATACAGTACGACCGTCCTGAGCAAATTCTGGCTGCAGGCTCGTGTGCTTGTGCAGAGATGCTCAGCGTGAGCAAATTCCAGTCAGGTCCGACTAGCCCCAGGTGAACTGTGATAACCAGGCAGTCTGCAGCGATAAACTTATCTTATATCCATCAAGAAGAAAATGCACTTAACCCTCTACATGCAGCCCTGCTGTGTTATCAGCACCGTAATGGAAATTGATAAAAGAGAGCTGTCTTATCATAATCCCACATACACAACGGCAGGGAATTGCTATTTTAGGCGGCTACAGGTGAAGGAGATGGTTGGAACGGAGAGGGTTGCCTCCTGGTTGCAGATCAGATGCTATCGGCCCGTATTGATGGAGCAGCTCGTGGAGGTGCAGGTGGAGGCGGCTGGTTGTAAGACATTCCTCATAACCGGCCAGATTGTCGCTGTCATCACGGGGGTGCTGGGAGCTAAGCAGCGGCTGACTCAGCTGAAATCCTGCAGCAGCAGAAATAAAACCCTGATAAACATTAAAAAAAAAAAAGTGAGCGAGAAACGGGGGAATTATTAGAGAGCAGGAGTTGAGACCCCAACATGAAAGAGAGATTATTAAAGAGACAATGAGGCTTCGTGAACTTACTACATGCTGACGCCATTTGTTTGTGTCCCTGTGCATTTTATTAAGCCTCTCACATTAAACAGATTTAGTGGAAGCAGCCAAAGTCATGGAGTAATTACGCTTTTGGAAATGCTGTGATTAAAAACGCTCGCTTAAACTATCAATCCACACTGTACCGCGCTTCTTTGTTTATTCCCACAACATGCTGATGTGAATTTACCCTCCAGATTTAGCACATTAAAAAAAAAAAAAAACCTACAAGGGAAAATTCATAAAACATTTTTAAAAAATGGAGATTTATCCATCAGCCGTGCATATAAAGT